CCCTCCCCCCGCTCTCTCTCTCTGGAAAATTCAAAAAGAACAATATTAGGCTACAATTTGCAATGATTGCTAATAACCTGTTTCCATGCCGCCCAGCTTGCTCTGTTATTGTATCCCCATACGAAATATACTCTATAATAACAGAAACTTAAAATGCCGTCACAACCACACATATTTAGTGCTAAATATTTTATTATTTAACACCTGCGTGCAAGCCAAGGAGGTTACAGTTTTAAGCTCCTTGGTGCAAATTCATATATATAAGTGTAACCATATATCACTACACCGGGTTTATATTTGTTTTATTTGTTTATCTCTTTCTCAAGTTGCCCTGTTTTGTCACAATCGTTTTCTGAGAATGTTTTTAAATTCGTGATAATAGATTTTATTATGTTTTCCTACATTTGTTTGTCAATTTGAGTTTAAAAATTGGAAAAATTGTGAAATCAAGTAGGCCTAGCGCGGATCGAAAAATAAAGCTAAAATTATAATGTAGATCAAGATCGAGATCTTGTACACATGTATTTGTTTCTTCAAAACGGCTGTCTCAATTTTGTAGTAATTGATCTTTTGTGAAAGAGGAGCTGTTGGTCAATTCAGTTTTTGTGTAAATTGTGATCTTAGGGGTAGAAGTGGATAAACAATACACAAGCTTGCCTCTATGTTTCCAATGCAGCCAGGTACGCTATTAATTAAATCACGGGAGGATTAATTGGGTTTGAAGCGTCCCGAGTTTTCTTGGCCACAAACCTAGAATCAAGGAAAACGCCACTATGTTTATATTGAACGATAGCGACACTTCCGCAAGAGTTGCTGCAGAGCAAAACAAACATGGCGTGCTCCATCAATGATGAGCACACTCCGCTACAGACTGCTCCCTCCCTCTCTCCCTTTCATTCGTTCATTCTGTTTTTTCATTTCTGGCCCCCACTGGAGGATTTCCTCCACCTTAATACATAGGCCTATCGTTGATCAGCTGTTAACCCCTTCTTTGACAGGGCTATGCATTCCTACATTTAAGACAACTCTGATCTGCTAGCCTAGGACCTAGGAGGCCTCACTCCCCCTGACCCAAAAGTAAAAGGCTAGATTTCTAGGCTAGTTCTAACTGCTAAGTTAGTGTGCCCTCCTCGCCTAAGGCCAAGTCCAAAGTTCTAAAGTAAGCTCGTTAACGAGGGCTAGGACAACTGTCTCAGTTTTAACTCATAATCTGTGGACATCTGCAAATACTCAAATACAACACATGCGGCTAAACATAGAACGACGCACCTGCCTGATTGGGTGCTAATGTTATATAGTTGGCCTAATGTGATGTCATCACATCCTGGGGTACCCAATAGACTATTTTTAGAATGCCGTGGAGTAGAGAATCTTTAGAGATACCGCATAGAACGACATGGGTCAGTGGCTTGACATCCGTATCGATATATGATATGTTTCACACAGTAAAATTTTACACTTGAACATGAGGGAAGATTGCTTAGATTGTTGATGCTCAGAACAGTTATAATTAGCAATGACAATGAAAAATTAAATTTGCATCCAAATTGCTTAAAAATGGGCTTAAATGAAAATAAAGTAAATTCTAAGAACTATGGTTTTTAAATTTTAAAAATCCATTGATAAATAAAAAAAAGTTATAAATTGGGATTTTTGTTTGCAAAATGTTGGAGGACCTTCATATAGGAAAAAATCGCCAAAATGTGGGACATGTTTTGATGTATTTTGAGGAAAAACTGTTCATAAGTCAGTAATGAATTGGATCATATGAAACTTGGCATCTCCATGTGATTTTTAGTGCAGAATCTAGTTCTGCTATCACTTTTTTGATGTCTTTTTTACTTTGGATCTTAAAGACTGATATTTGCGTGAAATTTGTTGAATTGTGTGACATCGTTTTTACCTCGACACGATCACCCCTTCTAAAACTCAGTAAAGCGCTATCAGGAAAACCCGCGATGTAGTCATCGGTGACCTATTTGGTTATAGGCAGCCAATCACATGCCGCCTAGCGATCACGCGCCTCTTGCATGCCGGCACCTCGCGTTTGGAATGCGTGATCTAGTTTCCAGATCTAGTGTTTTATCAATGGATGGGTGGTAATTTTAAGTTGGTACGGAAAATCTACTAAACGCTGAGATCTGAAATTTTACAGCAATAAAGAAGACATGTGGAGCGCTTGTGTGGTCGGTGATCAACCTACAGCTCCGCTTAGTTTTCGAACCGCAGAGGAAATTCGCACAAACACGGCAATGTCTCCGGTTTTAGTAATCGTTTGGGATTGTATGCTGGCATGTCGTTAGTTTAACCTTTCCTCTGGTTGGTTGCCGAGTTTCATTTATTTTCGTCCAGGAGTTTTCCCGTAACTATACTTAGAAGAGAGTCACTTCTGATTCCGAGCGGCCCAAAAATTGCCCCTCGCGCGGAGGCCGATTTCCGGCCCAAGGCGCAGCGGGCGATTGGCATTGCTAGTTATAATAGGTAGCGTAAACACGGCCTCGCGGGCACTCGCGACCTTCCCACCGCGTGAAATCGGGGTAATTCAGATCGCTGTTTCTTTGCTCTTTCGTTATAAAGCACCAAATGCCGTACACCTTGTAAAAGTTCAAATTTTCCTCGTTACAATGGTTTCAATTGTTTATGTCTGATTATTAGGAGCTGGAGAATCGCAGAGGAAAGCGAAGCCCCTCGCAGTCGGAATGTGTGGTCGGCCGGTTAAAAAATTGACACGCGTGCATTCAAATGCTTCGCGGAATGAGGGATGATTAAATACCGTCTTTTCATTGGTGGAGAACTGTAGAGCTTTAAACGGGCTTTCCCGTGGTATATATTTGGCCTTTGGCGTTTAAATAGAAAGCCTTTAAAAATGCCGTCAAAATTTTCAAAGATCATTTTTTACACTAAACATGCAAAAATACCGGCTCCAAAAAAAATTTCAATAAATAAAAAAGATCAGTTTATTTTCTATAGAATAAAGTAATAAGCTTGGAATTATTTTGCATCAATCCTTCCGCGAGCCTCGGAAAGCATGTGACCCCCCACACGGGGTACACTACAGTGTAGAGCTGACTCCCTCGCCGCGGGGGCCGGAGCGTCGCCGGCCGGCTCAACGCTCTGTGTTTTTGTCGAAATAACGACAGGTCATTGTGTTTGAGGCGATAAAGATTAAAATACTGATTTGTAGTGATCTCACAGTCTTGAAAAAAATAAGGATCCATATATTTGCTCTGGCGATTACACTCTGTTAATGTGGAAATGTTTAGTGCACTTGGTACTCTTTTATTATCTGTCAAACATGGGGTTGCAGCCAGTGACTGACTTTAACAAATTTTGTCAAATTTTAAACAATTACCATTTTCTTAAAAATTGACTGAGAGGTTAAAAAATGGTACCAAAATGCTCAGTGATATATTATGCCTTTCAAATGGAACAGATACGTTTGGCATATACAGCTACTTTGAAAATTCAGTTTCTAGTACCTAGTTATAATGTTGTTGCTTGAACTTTAAATTGAAACACGATAAGCCCGTGAAAATTGCAGTAAAGACGCTGGAAGATTACCCCGCCCAGGCCTGATATACAATGCGCAGAAGAGATTAGCAGCAGCAGCATCGGAGCACTGCATTATATCACATGACCGGTATTCCTGGAAGAACATCGCACAAAAGCGTCATGCCGTCAAAGGTCTTGTAGTAGAGAATCTTTGGTGCCATGTGCTTGGCTATATTTAGATGTAGTCACGTGATCGGAGGGATATCCCAGTCTGATGTCACACAAGACAGCCGCCTTGCCTAAAAATAGTTTGCGTCTTTCTACATTTAGTTGCATGTGATACAACTTGTAGTCCAGCATTTCTTTCAGGGCACTAAGGTCACTCGGAGTGACTTGGGAAGTCATGGTTCGAACGTGTGTTTTTGCCATGAATACCATGAGCTGTAGGAGTAGGGGGTGTTAAAATCCAATGATGAAAATATTGTCCTTTATTTTATAGCTCCAGAAAGCTTTCTATGGGCTAAATAAGTTTATTACAAACACATGAATAACTCCTTCTCATAAATTGATCATGTGATTACGAGTGGTTACACCTCAATTCGAATCTTTTAGACGCCATGAATCCTTGAACTATTGTTAATGTTGCTACACAAACAATCTAGGTTTCGAAAGTTAAAAAAAATGTAGGGCAATTTAGTAGCCTATTAATTTTATCTGTAAATAAAATTTTGAGTAAAATACAAACTTGTTTTAATTTAAAATATTTTTTGGATAAATAGAAGTCTTGTTTCTTGGTTATCTTTTGGACTTCCTTTTATGTCTAAGTTGGTTAATTTGAATTTGTTCAAATTTCATTACACGAACATCTAGAGCTACCAACTTATTATGTGTTTCGAATGAGATGTATGTGTCATTTTCGAAGAAACAAAGACAGTTCTGGAAGAAGGCCGTGAGAGCACACAATCGGACTGATGAACAGTTCCGAATCAGCACAACCCCGCTTAGACTACATGCATCAAGCAATCAGCTGGTGCCGTATTTCTACAGCTGAAATTATGTGTGTGCATCAGGAAAGCGAGGGTGTCAAAATACTCTGCATCGTCATGGCATGTTAATGATTCAGTAATCGAAGGATAAGGGTTGATGGGCTAGTGGTCTAAATCCAGCCCACTTGTTGCATACATATTTCAGACCCAGGGTCTTCGATCATGTTGCTTTTGACATTTTGGCGTTAACATTTTGCCTTGCAAATTTGGTAATGATATGCTCCTTCTTTATTCCGGAATACAAATCCACACAGTACTTGTGGCTAAAACTCTGTACAAAAAATTAAAACCAGTGGTTCATGTGCCTACCTGTAACATTCTGATTACATAAGGCAACCAGAAACAGAACATTTTGCAAACTTCCTTGACATCCTAAAAAATTACTCATTTACGTGACACACAAAGTATGTCATAAGGCAACAAAAGGGTTAAAATACAGCAAACCACAAATTATTTTTTTTTTAAATTGGTGGGACCAGAGAGACTCCATGCATTGCATACTACTTCTACTACTACTGTTACTACTACTATTACTACAATAACTACTTCTACTACTACTATTACTACTACTACTATGACTACTGCTATTTACTACGACTATTGCTATTATACTACTACTACTACTACTACTACTACTACTACTACTACTACTACTACTACTACTACTATTACTACTACTACTACTACTTCTATTACTACTACTACTACTACTACTACTACTATTACTACTACTACTTCTACTACTACTAATTCTACTAATACTACTACTACTACTACTTCTACTACTACTACTACTACTACTTCTACTACTACTACTACTTTTACTACTACTGCTGCTGCTGCTGCTGCTACGTTGTGTGTACTAAGTAGTCATGTAGCCTTTAGAGAGCAGGGATGCCAAATGTACGTTTTTTCCGGTTTTTTTCACTTGCAAAGGAAAGGGGAGAGGTAAGAGAGAATGTTTTTGTTTGCTCATTGAAAAGTTTTACAAGGTTCGGTTTAGGTGAGATGTGATGCTCCGCTCATTTTCAGTTGTTTTTTTTTTTTCAAAAATCATTTGGCATCCCTGAGAGAGGTACGTTCATGCCCATGACACAGCACATACTCCACCCCCACACACTGCTCTCATCATTGTGACATAAATGATAGCTCTGAGTGCAATGGCGGGTATTTATTTTTGTTCTAGGAACCCATGGGATTTTTTAAAAAACTTCCCCTTCGTGAAATTAGAAAGGAGTCAAGTTTCTGGTGCCTAATAGATTGACTTAAGGAGGTACATAAGCAGTCTCTCAGAAGAACTCATTTTATTCACATTTGCTGGATGTTGATAACACGGTTAGTAGAGTCGCCCTAACGTTAACCCTAACCCATACCTTATTACCCAAATCTAGTTAATGTGAATATAATGCGTAGGCGAAAAAAAAAGCACAGTTACATTCTCAAATATTTATGTAATTTATACTTTTCTGCTTTCTCATTTCAACAGGGCAAGGTGGCTATGGCCAACCTCCAACTGGTGAGTGAGAATATTTTACCACATATTCTTGTTTATGTTTTTTTGCTTTTAATTTGAACCTAAAGCTTAAGTACTATGCTGCAAGTATTGAAAAGAAAGAAACTCCCCCCCTCTTTTATTATTAACCCAATTCTTTCCAATTGCTAACTATTTATATGTATGTGAGGCAGCGTGGTGAAATCAGGCGCTCGTCAAAATAATGAATAAACTTGCATTTTCCCGCAGGTTAGGGAATTTTTATTGAATTTTTGTTTTTTATGTCCATTAAAGACCCATTTCAGTGTGGATTTTACTGAAAAACTTTGATTAAATGCATAAAAGATGTACATTTTCAGTTTCCACGTGCTCTCAAGCTAAGGAAATAACTAAACTTTGGCGGCCATTTTCTCACAAATTTTACCTCTTCTTAAACCAGGCGACCCCACCTCCTTCAATCGCAAATACGTTGACTTGTATCCAAGATAAATGGGTACATTGTTTTCATTGAAAGCAAAGCAAATGGATAGCTTTAAGATGGTACCAACAAGTACTCCATATACCAAAGAATTGACGGGCGCCTGATTCCACCGCTTCGTGACACAATAATATATCTGTTTGAATGTGGTCTTTCTGAATTTAAGATAATTTTGTCTATGGCAATTGACATCACAGGTCTACTTAGTATTTGTGAAAGTCATTGCTATTCGAACAACATATTGAAATCAAAGAAGTATTCAAAATGATGTCTCTGGTATATCTTACTATTTTATATAGAGGGTAAGGCGTGCAAATAGGCCATTGCTCGTGAACTTAAAATAGTTTTAGCAAGGCAGTGCTTATTCTCTATGTATGAGACTGAAAATTGATATTTTTTTTCCTAATTTGCAGGCCAAGGCTTACCCCCTGCTTTCTTAGGATCCCATTTAGGAAATGGTAAGTGTCTCTCCTGATTGACTTTCGTGCTTTCTTTTCTTTTCTCTTTCAGAAAAGTTTATGGCATGGTAAAATGAAGGTTTGGATTAATAATGAGAGAGCAGTACTTCCCCTTACACTACACTGTCTTATTTTTTATGTTCATACGTTTTAGGTTATTTTACGCCAAATGGCAATCTTATAAAAAGAGGCTCTTTTTATTAACTTTTAAGAAAAGTGAAGGCTGTTTCATACTTTTTCTCATCCTTGTTTGCCTTTTATTTTTTTTTGTACCAAAGATAGCCTGTTTTGTTATAAAAAAAATCTTTTCAACTTTTTTTCTGTTTTGTGCTCTTGCAGGCCAACCCGCTGGTCTTCATTTCCCCTTTTCTGGGATGCAAACTCAGGATGGTAAGAAATATACACGTTTTAGAACATGGGTCTCAAAATTCGTGGTCTGTAGGGTGATATTTTGCGGCCCACATTTAACATCAAAGCTTAGTGTTAATGTGGCTGGCACGTTTTTCTCATGCCAAATGTGGCTGAGTTGTGTAAAAGGAAAAACTGCCAGGTCTCTTGCAGCAAGGACCAGGTAAGAGAAGCCTATGTTCTAAAGAACCGTTTATGTTCTCAACTGCTATTGATAAAGATTGAGAAGATTAAATCTGTTGATCTTAAACAAAAAATGTTACTTTAAACCTTTTCTGGTTAAATACTTGGTGCAGCCAAGGCCCAACTAGACTCTAACTTCAGTGCCCTCTCCCCCCCCCCCCTCTCCCTCTTCCCCCAGGTAAATAGAGTTTGATAACCCTTTTTTAGAATATGTATGTGGATGTGCTTTTGTTTTATGGGACAAGATGGATGCTGAAGAATGTACAGTTTCAATAGGTTTGATAAATGTGATGGGTCATTATCATTCAAGCAAATGTGACAAGATAAAATGCTCTTTGTAAGACTAGACTTGTCATACCTATTCTCGGATCATCAGATATTTTAATACCCACTCCCCACTGCCTCTGTATATAACAACTTGATTTTTATGAAATTCATCGAGGAAGCATAATCTGGTCATTCGACAATGTTAGAAGACGCACTGTTTGAGTCGCTTTAAAAAAGAAGCTTAGCTTTGTTGTTTTTTTGCAGATTTTTCCATTCTGTTTTCTTTCTGAGAAACTCAAAAAGGTTGGCAACAGCATGTGTGCTTTGAAATGTGCTAATATGTGTTTCTGGTTTGTTTATGATGGTTGGAAATGTGCCACACCATGCCTTTGGTCTGCTGCTGATCGGACGTATCATGTGTCTGATTTGTCCTCAATGAGCGAAAGAATTACTTAAATAAGAGTCTCCTTTGATTAGTTATGGCTACCGCAACTACTTAATTTATCGTGGGGGGTTGACTCTGGTGTGATTTGCTCCTTCTTTCTATTTGAATATCTATTGTCCTTATCTCTCCACCTTCTTTTTTGGGTTTGTTTCTCTCTTGTAACGCAAATGTGATCTGATTATGTTGCAAGTTTCGTAAAACACTTACTAAAACTAAGATTTAATATATCTTGTTGTTCTCTTCTTTCCCCTCTACCAACAGTCCCACCGCTCCCACCGACAATGCCCACACCCATTGGGCCGATGACCCAGACAGACGCACCCCCTCCCCTATCCTTTGCCGTGGGCCAGCCCCCCCTCTCTGAATCCTTCACCCCACCGTCCCCACCGCTGGCAGATTTTGTCTCTCCACCGCGACCCAACCAGGTATGACGTGGTCACGTTCGATGGCTCAGACCCACACATAGTGGTAGTCTGGAAGGGGGGGTGGGATTTTGCTTTGTAGTTGTAGAGTAGGATTCTTATGTGTTGGGTAAAAACGACACCTTTACCAGGGATTTAAGTTTGGTGTTTATTTTCTTTAAATGTTTTCTTAATTAATTTTTGTATTTCACTAGGATAATTTTTATCATGAAATACTGCAGTCGTGTATCCTTTTCTGTCAAGGACATGTGCTTAATGACTTCCTGAGTTATTTTATTTATTCCAGTATTTTCTTGTTATTTAGCTTTCTGTGTTCTTAAAGACTCATTTAGGTCTGTCATGCCTGAAGGCATACTTTATATGTTTTAAAAAGTGGTACATCACAAGATGAGACAGGCAGAAAAATGAAGAAGTAAGAGCAGGTATTGGCACTGAGTCCTGTCTGCATTTCATAGAATGACAGAATAAAATGGTTCAACCACCTGTTACGTATGTCGCCTAGCGAGCCAGCCTTGAAAGCCTACAACACCAAGCACTCCGGTTTTATAGGAAGGCCACGCTAAAGGTGGATTGAGGGTCTTAAGGAAACCCTGAAAAATCATAATATCCCAATTTTTTTTTTTACGGAATTGGCGCCCCATAGAAAACTGTATCTCCCCTCGACGGTTAATGGCAACAGAGGATGAAAAAGTAAAAGTAAGTAAAGCTTGGTATATATATATACACCAATTCATATAATGTAAATCTCTCTGCCAAGTATTTGAGGTTTTTTATGTTTTATTAAATTTCAAATTTATTCGCAGGTAGTTGGAGGGCGTTACTGGTAGGTCCTACTTCTTTACTCTCCCACTGTTTTTTCTGTCTGTCTGTCTTGCCTTTTCCCAGCACAAAATGACCACTATTGTGTCAATGTGCTTCTCTTTGCTCAAACGAACAATCAAAATTATTAAGGGAAGAAAAAAATGGTCCCACTACAGAACAGGACTGAGGCTTGCCCACCTTGTGACTTGGTAGAGCACAGGATGAGAGAACTGGCACTAATAGTAATACATTGTTGTATTCAGAAAATGAAGCTCATGATTGTGTAGATTATGCTCCAAAAAAAAACCCACCAGTCTTCAATAATTGAAAAAAACTAATACAATTTTTTTTAAAGACATACTCAGAAAAATTCCTGTTACAAACCAACAAATCCAGTTCATCTCGTTTTACTAACTAGATAACATCATTTGCATAGGAATGGATTCGGGACCCACATTAAAAGAAATGAAAAAGAAAACATTTTAATCATTTGAATGACCCCAGAGGGCCACCCACCCTCAAAGCCCTTCTATCTTTTTCGTCATGCTAAGATTTCTTGGGTTTTTAAAAATTTCTTCTTTTCAACATTTTTTCTCTCAGGGCACAGAGGGCCGCACCATCTCACTGCGAGCCAACCACTTCCAGGTGCGCGTGCCTAAGGGTATTATCCACCATTATGACATCAGCATCACGCCAGACAAATGCCCTCGGCGGGTGAACAGGTGAGTCGATGGTGACCACTTCTTTGAGCTAGCTACAGTGGAGGCCACTTAAACCGAACATACGCGCGCTCATATGACCTTATGCAGTTGCAAGCGCCGTTAAACACTTACCAAAAACCCCCCAAAAATCTAACATGGTTAATCTGAAAACATCGGAAAACGGAAAAAAAATGTAAAAATCCTCGTTTTTTTTCTTCTTATATTATATGTCTGTAACCTCTCTAAATGGAAAATCTGGCTAAATGGAAGAAAATCTGGAAGTCTCGCAGATTTCAGTTTTAACGGACTCCACCGTATCTCAAGTGACACAAATTAAAGAGCCTTGTCGTGTGATGCATTTTACCAAAAGGTTAGAAAAGTAGATACAGCTGTTAATTTTACTTACCTATTCTGTACTGTGAACCTTACAAAGCTGAATCGTAGCAGTACAAAATTTGTTGTGTTGAGCACATTTTGTGGCAACACATTTTAGACTAGTACAGATATGAGCTTCTAAATGTGATTTAAAGAAGGAAAGGGAAAATTCAAGTCCTGGGGATTATAACCCATTCGAATCACAAAGGCGTTAGTTGGTCGTTCTTCCCCTCCTTCTCTACTCTCCCTCCTCTCTAAGAAGCTCAGCAATATCGCTGCTCAGCTGTGCTATTGATTTGTTAGTTTTCCCATTCTGTAGTAGGTCTCGGGCTCTTCAACTTTTTTTTTTTTTAAATATTTTGAGTGTTGCTTTTTCTTTCAATCTTTGCCCAGATGGTAACATGCTAGACAGTTGTGGAGTGGACCTTAGGTTATATCCCAAGACCTGCCAAGTACTCCGATAAAATCTGAGCTGTCCAAGTCTTTTCTTCTTTGGCTGTTAAAGAACCTAAGTCAGATTTGCATAAAAGCTTATTTTATTTCTTGAATTCTGTTTCCGTCAGGTCGTACGCGACTTATGATAAATGATGTGAAAATACTCACTCTCGTCGAGTTTCACTTCTCCTGGGATCCGGAAGTTTTGAATGTAAGTTCATCATAGGCTCTTTCGCTGTCTATTTGCCAGGGTCAAGTCTTCATCTTCAAAAATAATTTCTAGAGATGTAGATAACTTTGGTTTTAGTAAGTCCCCCCTAATTTTGAATCTCTCTACAAGACAAACATTCTAAAAAGATAGAAATAATGCTAAGTGACTATAGCCACCTATTGACATTGAAATTTCAATTATCGACTCACAGTGCACTACTTTTTTCCAAGAAAGCATGAACAGATATAGAAATTTATTAGATTTAGTACCTGCAGTGAGGCTACTAGCACACAGTCTTACAAAAATGAAGTAGAGAGAGACAGAATGTTTAGAGAGTGGTGGTTTTGCAACGTAATGTACATGCATTTAGTTTCCTTTTCTCGTTGTGTGTGTGCATAAGGTGAAAGTGCACCTGGTGTTTGTAATACCAATGACCAAGACAAATTTCTACCAGCGAGATGAATAAAGATTGCCATTGTCACTTTGTAATCATAATCTACTGAGGTTCGGGAGACTCCTTTTTTTCAAACTCCTATTGTTTTTTGACATAGGAAGACTCATCTTTTCGGTTATGGAGTAGTTGGCAGGTCTGTATCGCTAACAGGACGTTCTTGAAGCTGGACTGCTTGGGGAATTTTTGTAGCTCGCTCCCATTTGAGATGTGTCTTCCATTTGAAGCCTCGTCACTGAAGTATTTTTGTGTCAAAAGTTTCATTGTTCTGAGGTACCAGGAAATGGGATAAAGTGTACTGTGCTGTTTTGTCTGTGTAAGTTTTAAGGGGTTAGAGGATACAGTTGTTTTTAAAAATGCAGTTTATACAGTTTTTACCATTGTACAGGAAAGACAAAAAAATGAATATTGTTTCCAAGAAAACAAACTCTTTGTAAACATCCCAAGTCAAAATTGTTAGGAATACAATTCTGATAATAACTTTTATATTATCTTTTTTAAAATGTTTTCTTGGTGTTGTTTTTTGGCTCTCCTGTAGAACTGTAAAAACTGCATAGACTGCACTTTTAAAAATAAAGGCAGTGTACACCAGATGTGTCCCAATGCAGTTGTGCCCCTTTTAGCCTTTCATCAACAATTTGTTTTAACAAATTTCTTTTAAAACTTAAAATTTAAGTCAGTCATGCTTAAAAGAGAAAAGAAAAGATCTACAGTATAATTTCAGGAAAGGATGAAGACTATTTAGAGCTCACCAAGATTCGAATCTCTCACATCCGCTTGTGGATCAATTTCCTTTGCTAACTCCTTCCCCGTAGGTGTATCCAACTTTCTTCTGCAACTTCTGTAAAGTGGTTGCACGGCTTGCTACATGTAAAACCTGTTGTTGCATATAGTGTGAGCTATTGTGTCCCTTTCAAACAGGTTGTTAAAAGTCTGTCCTTGTAAATTGTTTTGTTTTAATAGAGGTTTTACGGCGCTCGCAACTGCATAAGGTCATATGAGCGCCAGAAGGTTAGAGGAGTTACAAGAGAGTAACAAACATAAAAAAGAAAAAGGGGAGTTTAAGGACGATAGATGTTTAATAGGAAAGAAGAAGCAAACCACACCAGAGCACCCGCCAACCACCCACTTTCCAAGTAAATGGTTTTTCAGAATCTGCAGCATTGACTGACATAACTTTTTGCTGTAGATAGTTGATGGGTGCCCTCATGTGGTCTGCTTCTTTTACTTCTGTTCAGTTTTACTGTTATCTTAATCAATTTATGGGTGGTTGATGGGTGCTCTGGTGTGGTTTGCTCCTTTCCTATCAAACATCTGTTGTCCTTATCTGTCCTTCTTCTTTTTTGTGTACGTTTCTCTCTTGTAATACCTGTAATCTTCGGCACTTATATGACCTAATTGTGTTTCAGTTACCACATTGGCACTCAGTAGCTGAGCATAATGCACCTTTGTCTTTGTTTCTCCCCCCAACTTTCCCTCTGTTTATATCCCCCACCCCCCACTCCCCCTTCCCCTTTCAGAGAAATCATCGACACAATGGTAACTGCCTATCAACAAAAGATCTTTGAAGGTCAAAAGCCTGTGTTTGATGGGAGGAAAAACATGTACAGTAGGGAAACGCTTCCAGTGGGATCCGAGAAGGTGAGTTGATTTAGTGCAGCTTCTGCAAATTTTTTGGTTTTTTTAAGTTTTTGTCTTTTTCTAAATACTGCTGGGTGGGTGGCACTCTGGTGTGGTTTGTTTCCTCTTTGCTATCAAAGATCTGTAGGTGCTCTGGTGTGGTTTGCTCCTTTCCTGTCAAACATCTATCATCATAATCTCTCCCTCCTTCTTTTCCTTTATATGTGTCACAACGCAGTGGAATCAGGCGCTCGCCAATTTTTGGGCATGTTCAGTTATTGGTATTATCTGAAAGTTTGTTCATTTGCCTTGCTTTCAACTAAAAAAAATACCCGTTTATATTAATATTGAATAGAAGTAGAGATATTTGCGTTTGAAGCAGATGAGATTGCCTGGTTTCAGTGGTAAAATTAGCGAGAAAATGGCTGCCAAAGTTTAGTAATTTCAATAGCTTGAGAGTCCTTGAAAACTGAAATATACATAATTTGTGCTTTTACTGAACGTTTTCCCAGTAAAATTCACATGAAAATGTGTATTATATGGACTTAAAGGTGTTGAGCCAAAAAAAAAAAATTTGATAAAAAATGGTCAAAATGGAGGAAAAATGCCTGTTTCTCAATTTCATTATTTTGATGAGCGCCTGATATCACCGCGATGCCTCACATATGTTACTCTTGAGTAACACCTCTAACCTTGTGCACTTTTATGACTTTGATGTGTTGCAAGTGCGGTAAAATTCTTACAAAAACTAAACCCAACAATATTTTTCACTTCCACTGACACAGCTCTTGGGGGGAATTTTTTTCTCTAATTCAGTGGTAACTACAATGATGAGATTTTGGATGGTTGGCGAGCACCTCATTCTACTGCATCATGACGCGTATGATCTATAAATTGTGTTACAAGTGCTATAAAACTCGTGCTAAAAAAACTTAACTCATTGTATGTATATGTATAATTTCAGATTGAGTTAGAAGTGACCTTGCCCGGTGAAGGTCGGGACCGAGTGTTCAAGGTGGCGATCCGCTACGTGGGTCAGGTCAGCCTGTTCGCTCTGGAGGAAGCCTTGGAAGGTCGCACCCGCCAGATCCCCATGGAGGCTGTCCAGGCTCTGGATGTGGTCATGAGGCACCTGCCCAGCAAAATGTGAGAGCTTGTGTGTGTTGTCTTACTGCCCCGTACCGGTCTCCTTGTTGTACTGTCTGTCTCGTGCTTCTAATTCAAAGCTTTATACTTCCTTTATATTGAAGTTGTACATTTGGTCAGTTCTTTTATAGGGGTGTGAGTGCTGGACAGTTGACAACAATATTAAAAGGAAATTAGAAGCAACAGAAATATGATTCATAAAAAGAATGTTGAAAATGTCGTGGACAGAAAAAAAGACAAGCCAAGAAGTGTTGGAAATGGCAAATATAAAAGGATGACTCACCGAGATTACAAAGCTGCGACAGATAAACTTCAATAAGCATGTACAAAGAAAAGAGGGTTGGAATAACTAAAAACTACAGGAAAAATCAAAGGTAAGAAAAACAGAGGACGCTATTGTACAAGATTCATAAATAGACTTTGGCAAAAAACAACACAATGAACAATTTTTTTATGAAGGCCAGGAAAGGAAGAGCGGGATGGAGAACCATTGTAGTGAATGTCTGCTTCAGACTTTACGTTTCCGATCCAGCGTCTGCTCCAGACAAGACACCTGATAATATTTCCTTTGTCTTGGGAGATGTGTGAACTTAACGCTTGTGTATTCAAGTGATTGGAGGCTGCCTTTGACGTGCAATCGCTGTTCTTTCCTTTCTCCTTATTGTTTTTGTCTGTCCTTCTTGCTTTTTCTCTGCATTAAATGGCTGGAGGTCATGTTGATGTTCTTTTCTTCACTTCAGTTTGTCGGAAATGCTTCAATGGCTTATTTTTGCGAATGGTGAACTCCCTGTGTAGTCCCTTTGCACTTCATTTATAAACTTGGTAGCTCTCTCCCATGTTGAAATATTGTTTGTCCTGTCTGTCTTTTCATAATGCTGTTTTCTTTCTGCATACATTAACATTTTAAAATTTAATGACTCTTTTTCTGAAGAAAAGATACTAATTGAACTTGTATGGCTCTTTTAGGTTCAATTTTGTTCATTTTAGGAACTCTATGCTGTATTAAGATCAGAGTTCTCTTTATTTTTTTTTTGCCAGTGGAAGGACTTTGATGAGATATATATAAAATCTGATTTTTTCCTTGAATTCTATATCCATAACATGTCACTTATCATAAATGACGTGGAAAAAATAAATTTTTACTTGCATTTATTTGTATTATTTGCGCGACTTTATCATAAAAGATGTAAAAATACATATCTGTAATATATGCATGTGATTGCTATTCATGCTTATTTACCCGCTGTTATTCATTATTCTTAATGTAATCTGCATTGATTCTGGAGGCTGGTTTTTGTTTCCCAAACTCTTATTAATCCGGGTAGCGACCGAAAAAAATTTCTTCTCTCAAATTGTCTCCTTTCACCCCCTTTCCTGTTCTCTAGCAATGTTCTGTTGTCTGCTTTTGTTTCCACTTTCTGCCCCCACCCTCTCACCTCCTTTGCCCCCTCCTCTGAGCTCCTGACTCTTTCTGCATCCTTTCTACTGCTACTCCTTGGCTCCTCCTAACTGCTGTCTTTCTGCCACACCCCTGATCTTCTGGTAGGAAAGATCTACACCTAGCCTTCTTGGACAAGGGCAAAACATCTCGGAGGGCCCGTGTGCAAGTTGCGCACGTTAAAGATCCCTTGGTGGTCTAAAAT